CCCCGGGCCCTGAGAAATAGGCAAGGCAGGTGGTCTCATCCCCATTTGACAGATGAGGATGCTGAGGTTCACTTGGGGGTAGGACTAGAAACCAGCCCTCTAGTCTCCTTCACCAGGTTCTTTCTGCCATACTGAGGCACCTTTTCCTTTGTAAAGTCAGTGGATCCTCTTTCCCAGCTAGTTTTAGGAGGCTTGGGTACAGGTATGAGTGGATGAGGAAAGTATCACTTCCATTTTGGGGAGCAGCCTTTTAGCTGTTGCTGGTAGGGAGGGTGTATCTCAGAGTGGACAGAGACAGTAAACCACCCTGCCCTCCAGTTGGAAGAGAAGACCAGAGGTTAGGAGATGTTGCTAGCATTTTGTAGTTTGAGACCTTTCCTATTTTTTCCAACTTCCTTAGCTTTCCTTAAAAGATGAATTCAGCATGTATCATATTTAAATTTGGCAAATAAGTAAACTGTGGCTTGAAACAGAAGTGATTTTCCTAGGGTCCCATGGCAAATTAGCAGTAGCTTAGAGCTGTGGTTCATGAAAAGTTCCTTTCCGTCACCTCCTGTTGCCTCTGGAAAGTAGGTTTGCCAGAGTTGAGGAGTGAAAGAAGAACTGGAACCCTATGAGCACCTGGGGCCCTTGTGGACAGATGGTGTCCTGACCACCTCTCTGGCAAGCCCTGGGGCACAGTGGTATAGACCGACCCCCCCCCCCCCCCCCCCCAGTATGTAGAAAAGGGAAACCTTTGTAGCGGATTAGGTTTTATTTCGTTCGTTTGCTTGCTTTTAATTACCTGAAGGAAGGGATTAGGAGATTTTTCCCCAAGAGTACAGTATAGGCCTGAGGAGGTTATAGGTAGGTTGTAACCTTAGCTTCCCCTTGGCTCGAAGAAGAGAAAGCATGCTCTTAATGATTCTATTATACTCCTAGATCTGGAAGGGCCCTAGGAGAGGGGGAGTGTTGTGGTCAGAAGGAGTCAGTGGTAGGTAGGTGTTTTAGTGTGTAATAGCTGCTTTCCTCTTTTAGAGATTGTCCCTGCATCCACTTATTCATGCAGTAAACATCACCACCGTGCTTTGCTCTTCAGGCACCGCAGAGAGGCTGCTGAGGCAGATGGCAGCCCCCACAGACTCTGAGTTTGGAAATTGACAAAAGTCTTCCTCAGTAAGACACATGTAATTATTGGTGTGAGGACCATGAATCTTGAATCTATAGACCATTCATCCTCCAAGTTGGGATGTTGATAAATCTCTAGGGTTACTGAAAACAGACAATTAAAAACACACACACACACAAACAGACCTAGGCAACATCTGGAAATTGGCAGAGCAGATCCAGAGAAGCGTGGCGCCGGTTTGAGCAAAGTGAGTTGAAAAGCACTTTCCTCCACCTGTCTTCAGGTTTTTTTCTTGAGAAGAGCAAAGGGACAAAAAAGAAACAACTTGCCGTTGACTAGGCCACATTTAGAATTCCAATCAGCTGGTTAGCTTTTAAATTGGAGCCACTGTCCTGGCTCCAGACCTGACTGGAAGGGCCAGGGTAGGTTTGGGAATTCATTTATCCTGGAAGAACTCTCCCATATGTCTTGAAACCCCATCTTGGATGTGGTGGCTCTAAGAATTGCTTGCAGTGACTTCGTCTTACAGAGCTCATCTTCTGGCATCTCCTAGTTGTGAATACCACGGTGCTGTGGGACCAGATGTGAGGCGGCGAGCCCTCAAGCGGGAGGCAGAGATAGCTATGTTTTTGTGCATTAGCCATGAGTAATTAATCCCTCTCTGGCACCAAAAGCGTAGTTTCAGGGGCAGTTCGGGGCCGCTTTATGACTTTTGGTGAGAAGCGCGGTACTTTACCGTTTGCCCAGGCCAACCCAGAGCTGTCTTCAGGTGTACCTCTTCTTGTATCCAGGAAATGTCAAAGCCAGCTGCTTTGGGACTTTGCATTTTCCAGCATATGCTGGTCTACATCATGGTTTCCATGTGTGTCAGACCCAGTATATAGCCTTGATTTCAGTTCAAGGGGAAAAAACAAACACACCTTTACTGACAGTCTTACTTTGTGCCTGTGCATTATCTCTGTTAGTCCTCCCCGGGACCCTGTTGGTAGAGATTGCCGTTGTTACTATTTCCATTGTGTAGATGAGGACAACTGAGTCTCAGAGACTCCTCTCCGGTTGTATAGCTAACAAGTGACAAAGCCAGACTTGAAACCGAGGTCTTCCGGTGCCAGGCCCCCACTTGGAAATCTCCTTTGTAAAGTAGCTGATGTTCTCGTCAGCCACACAGCAGGCTTGGGAGGAGTGAAAGGCAAGAGAAGAACTGTCCGTGAAGCTGACAGTTCAAGTCAAGTTTTCGAGCCCAGGAACAGTCTTAGATGCTGAGTTTTCCAGCCCCTTCTGTTCTTCCTCTCTCACCAGCCTCCCTCCTACAGAGCACACGCACTTTCCTCCCTGCTAAGTTGTCATTTTCCTCAGGAAATTTCAGAAGAGCTCCCATCCTCCATGATCCATGTAACTCAAGATGTGGCTCACCTTTGGATGTGGTCTCCTTCGTCACTCTCGTTTATTTGCCAGACAGCGTGTTGAAAATGAGAACAACCCATTTGGAGAGCTTACCATTATCTAACTGCCATCCAGTCTGCTACTGGGGCTCATGGTATTGAATTTATGGTTTTTTTATGGGGCCAAAACTGGTTTTTCTCAGCTCAGAGTCTTAAAATTCTGTGCCATTCTATCCAGGCACTTTGGCTATGTTATTATTATTTGGGGTGCTAAATTCCTTTTATTGTCAAATGTCCCCCTCCTACTTCCTATACACCAGGCCCAGTGCTGTAATAAGCGAATGCTCCAGTGCACCCGCAGGTCTGAGGTCCTGGGACTGAAATGACAGCACAATCCAGGCGAAACACAAGTTAACTTTTCAGGCCCTGCCATGTAGGGTTTCTGTCTGGGCAGAATGACAGAGAAGAAATGGGCATCGTCCTCAGGGTGAGTGTAGTCTTAGGGCCCAATGTACGTGCTAAATAGAGGTGGAAGCCAGGCACCAGGGCAGCACAGAGAAAGGGCCCATTCTAGGTGGGCTTTGTGGTTTATCTTGTACATCTTTCCAACTCTACCACCACTGCCCACATCCAGGCGTGCACCAGCTCTTATCTAAGCCAGCACATCTGCCTTCTAATTGATTACCCTGCCTCAATCTGCTTTCCAAGTTGCTGTCAGAAGAACCTTCCAAAATACAGTCTTAGTCAAGTCACTTCTCTCCTTAGAGCCTTCTGTAGCTCCCTGTTGCCTACTGAATGAAGCTTAAGCTTCTCAGCCGGGGCGTTCATAGCAGCCCCAGACCAACCCCATTTCTCCAGCTCCCCCCAGGCCTGCGGTACTTTGTGCCTTCTTGAGAACACTCCCTCAGGCACTCCTTTGAGCCAACCAGGATGGATTAATCATTGTGTGAGGTGGGGCCTCTGCCCATGGAGCTCACCTTCCGTGGAGAATGCCTGCAGTCCCGTGAGCTGAGGACGAATGCCACAGAGGAGTGGACAGATGCATTGGCAGCTCCCTGTTCCACCCTCAGTCCCCAGGGGAAACTCTCCTTCCTCGGAGCTCTCCTTTTACTTTGCTGTTCCTCACTTATCTTTAGCATTCTGTGTCTTGTTTTGGTTAGTCGTGAATAGGTCTGTCTTCCTACCAGACAGTGAACTCCTCCAGAACAGGGATGTGCCTTCCTTCTCTCTGCATCCATAGTGCCCAGCACGTAGTCCACTCCAGTCAGCCCAAGTGGAACTCACCAACCTGGGGAAGACGGGTGCATTTGTTATGCTTGGGGAGAAGAAGTAGGGAGGACAGGAACCCCTGTAGCAGCAACTTGTTTTTCAGAACAGAAACCTGCAGTGAGTTTTGGAGGTCTCCTTTAACTTTGTTCACCTGGAAAAAGTCAACATTCTTTGTCACTCCCTTGACTAGAAGAAACCCCACACTTGGGGGAAATGGCTTCCAAAGCCACGTTCTTCTTGCTTTGGTAATTTTAGCTCATTCAGGGCTCAGGTCCCAGCTTGGCATTGTTGGTCCAAATGGACCACTTGCTCCAGAAATGCTTTGGAACTTCTACAAAGTTAGCAGTGAAGCAGGGGAGTAGCCGATTTCATATGAAAGATTGTTGCACGTCATCAGTGGGAGACTGCCAACAAAAGGATTTTTTTTTTTTTAAGCGAGTGAAAACTTTTAATTTAGGTTTTGACATGTTCTGCTGATGTACATTGGAGCGAAGATTGGAACTTGCCT